TTTGAGTGTTAAGGACTTTTAAGTCCTAGGGTCCTCCACCAAGTTTGAGTGTTAAGGACTTTTAAGTCCTAGGGTCCTCCACCAAGTTTGAGTGTTAAGTACTTTTAAGTACTAGGGTCCTCCACCAAAATATTTTCCTATGATCAACCTCCTATCAACCTAGATAGAGTCTATATCATACTTAGTCATTCATAACTAATTCAGTACATAAAGCTTATGTATCACAATCCATGAAAAGCCATGCAATTATATAAATTTATAGTTAACTAATATCAGCCGATATTAATTAATCTATTATCCATCGGTCAACGTTGTCGTTGACCGCCATTTCAAGCCTTGTACATATCAACTTAATCATCATATAATTAAGTTTATAATATCCATTTGTGCTTCTTTCACACTTCCAACAAACATGCATTTCGTATAATTTCTCATATCATATTTCATGCATAAACAATTAATTCATTTCATACAAACTCATCTATGTTAGCTAATCACATGTTTAAATATCTTTTAAACATCATTATGAACACATATAACATTTATTTAGGTAATCTTACAATAAACCCAAAAGTTATAAGATATTAAGCCGTCCACTCACCTTGAACTAGTGTTATGAAGTTCTACCCTTCTTGGTTGAACTCCGGTGAAACTCCGGCGACTTTTGGTCAACTCCGGCGACAACTCCGGCGACGTTTCCAACTTTGTGAAATCACTTGAAATACCCTTTACAAGTTCCTAACAAGGTTTTATAATCATAAAACCCATATTAATACAAATAGCCTCTAAAAGGTTATTTTCCGGTGAACCGGTCATTTTGGCTTCTAAGTCCGCCCTTGGACATAGAATCACCTTCCAACCCATTAATCCATACTTATAACATGTAGAACCCTCTTAAGGATCCTTCACATGATATATATCTCATATGGTAGGAGAAAAATAAAGAAAAACTTATGATAAGGTTCTTACCTTAGTTTTCACACCTTTTCCTAGCTTTTTCCTTCTATAATCTTCCTCCTTGGACTCCTATTGCTTGGGCTTTGTTCATGGATATGTAGGATGTATTTTGCAGGGGGTTTCTTCTCCTCTTGATGAGCCTTGGCCGAAAATGAGGGTGGAGGTGAGAGGAAGTACCACCTTTTGGCTTATTCCACCATGATAACATGGCAAGGACCCCCATGTGTCCTTTTGATGCCAATCCCCTCATGTCAACCACTCCCACACCCCTCCTCTCCAATCAGCCAGCCTTCCCCCCTCTCACAGCCCACAAAAACGTGGGGTGGCCCCCACTCATGTGGGAGGTCATCCCTTTGTGTCCCAAAGTGTACATTCGGCTCCGAAAGTTGTATTTTCGGACTGTTTTAACTATATTTTATTTTATCGGGTAAAATAAAATATATTAAGTGTTTTCAATCTTAATGCCATTTTGAAATAATATATATTCCAAAACTTTAATTTAGAAGTCTCCGAGATTCATTTTCAGGCTGTTTCTATTAAATTACCAGTACCGGTAATTTGGGCCTCTTTTGACCAATCGTCAACTCTGGGCCTTTCCATGACCCAAATGAAATATCCACCACTACATATTTATTATCTAGACCAAGATGAATATAATATAAGGTCTCGGGAATGTCGGGCGGCCCCCGCTCCCGGTGTGGGTCCCACGTGCAATTTACTATTCACGCGAAAGAAATAATAAAAATTTACAACTTCGTAAATTCATTAATCCTTTAATAAGGTTCAATACATCATTTACATAAAAGTAAATATATTTGGGGACGGTGTTACACTTTGTTTGTTGCTTATTAGTGGGTTCATTTATTTGTTGTGTTTTTTCTTTTTAGATCGGGAAGTAAAAATGTACAAGGTAAGAAATTGCCAACCCTCTTCAAAAGTTAACATCAAAGGGAATTACCTACTTTGAAATGTGAACAACAACTTTAGGTCAGATGGAGTTAAGCTAAATTTCGGAATAAGAAACTTTTATCCTACATTAGTTCATGAGGAAACATTAGAAAGTATTTAAAATAAAATAAAAGTGCATAAATATAAGAAAATATTTATAATAAATTTTATACAAAATCTCTACTTTGAAACTATTTGTAATCTTCAATTTTATGCATTTCTAATATTGTGATCACTCAAGTAATTATCATGTAACTGTAGAATTAATTTTTCTAATCTCTGTTTAATTGCCCATAGACATTAAGAATCTGATAATGTTCATCAACCCTATCTATGCATATAGATTTAAGAGTATAACTATAGAAAAGTTAAGGTATAATTCTTAAATTAAAGGTATATTCTAAAAATACAATTAGAATTAATATAAGAAATTGATCAAATAAGAACAATCACAGCAATGTCAATCAGTTCAAAGTGGATGAGATTGTAAGAAAATACTAAATATATCTCAAATCTAAGAAAATTTTAAAGTAATTATAACAATATTTTTTTGAATGGAAGCAATTACAGTACTATTGAAACTTGACTTTTAGCGTTTTGATTAAATAATGCCGTACACACTTATCCACTTGTGTAAATAACTGAAGATGCGATAAATTCCGTTTCTAGTTTAATATAAAGTTAATTTTATACTCACGTAGATTTTTTCACTATTTTTCTTTCCATGAGTCATGAGTGTGGACATGCCTGACTCCCAAGTCCTCAACAATTCGTGATAATTTGATCTCCAATATTCACTCACTCTACCACTTAACCATAATTCATTAGTTAAATTAAAATGCACAATGAAAGGCCAGCCCGTTCGGCCTCCCCGCCTAAATAAAAATTTCTCTTAAAGAATGACATGATAAGTTATTTCATGACATAATCATCATCGCACTTATCCTCCATGATATTTTCAACAAACAAAATATAAACTACAACTTATATGAAAATAATATTCAAAATACAATCAAAAAATAATTATTAACAATTTATCAAATTTCTAGAGAAAGGATTTTAAACTCAGCTATTAGTGCATATATCATCTTAAGCTGCAGCATCAACCATTTGTATTCGAAAAATAAATCTCACTTTTTGGTGAGAGAAAGGCAAGAAAACTGATTGATTGATAACACATTTTTCTCAAAATTATAACTAAAAGTATGATATATGTAGAAGTCATTTAAGTTTCGATAAGACAGAGAAAAATGTGAGCCGTGTGGTATGTGCGCCATGGCATAAGTCTACAATTTCACGGTGTAATTGTAGTACATTCATAAATAATACTACGTACTCGAAACTACATAATGATTATTATGCAAAAGCTATTTAAATCATATTGTAGCATGTACTTAGAAATTGTTGTCTATCAACTGCACCATGTTCATCTCATAGCTTTAGCCAGCTTCTTGCTGGATCATTCCAGCCAGCTGCACGCCTACACAACAAATGACTATCTTTATAATATTAATAAATCATTGTGAGTACCTAAAAACTCAGAGAACAACTTATATATCAAGATGGGAAAAAAGTCATGCCAAGCTTAATTGATCAAATTTGGGGTGCCATAAAAAGTTAGGCAAGAATTATTACTTCCACTAAACAACGGTAAATGGCAACAATGAAAAGAAGCATTTAACTGACTTAAACGAACATGAAGTAAATGAAAGTTCAGAATTCAAAAGGTCATAAGTCTTACCTATATCACCTATATGTGATTTTTCATCATTTGTATACCTTCATTAGCCCTTCACATATGTCCACGCCATCCAATTAGTGTTCCAACTATCCAATTAGAGCAGCAACTGCACATTATTCCATATTTGAACGACTTAGAGCAGCAACCACACATTGTTGGATAATTTAAAGAATCTAAAGGAGTGATAATTAAGTATTAAATTGTAAATCATTAAAATTGCATTCCTGGATAAGTAAACATAAACAACTAAATAAGAAATGGAACTAAAAAAAAGTTTTTAAAATGGATAAAAACAAAACTCAAGCAAAACCCATAAATGGTAAAGGTGAAACTGTAGAAATGAAGATCAAATCATCCAACAAAAGAGAAGAGAAAAAATGTTTTCAAACTCATGGAACCTTGGGCCAGAAGGAAAAAACATTTTTTAAAGCTATATATCCATATGTATTTGTGTGTGTGTGCGATACATGTTTTTTATAGTTGGAGTGAAGGATTCTTTCTAATAGGTTTCACTAATATGCTCATGAAAGTTTATTTTAAAGTCTTATACTTTAAGCTTTTTAAATGGTGGTTGAAGATGAGTTTGAATTTCTTGCGTTTTTTTTATGGAGTGGCAACCTAGACTGTAAGGCTTCTCTCGTTTCGTCACGAGTTTAGAAGGTGCACCGTAAATATGGTCAAAATTTTCCGCGATTCAATGATGCAATAATGTAGCCGGTCAACGAGTACAGTGGCCAACGATACGATCGGAAATATGGAAGCACGATATGATCAATTAATGTTGGAGAGAGCGGAGAATGAACGATGGAAGATCAAGCTGTGGGAAGAGTTGGCCGTAGAAGATCAAGATGGAGAAGGAATGGCTCTAGATGAGCCAAAAACGCGATGAAGGCGAGTACTAGATATCATACCTGCCTTGGTCTATGAATGATCTCTTTCTCTCAAGCTGCGGTTTATCCACTCTTGATTCTGGTTTTTATTTGTGTTGTTATGTTTTAGCGTTTGTTTTTATTTTGGAACTAGATTTTCTTTAGATTGTCTTATTTTTGTCATTAATCTTTATAAAGCATAAAAAAGTAACAAACAACAATATCAAAAGGCCCCTAACCTCCTGAAGATTAAGAACATTTTACTTGACGTGGTCTCAGTCACAGACGAGACCAAAATAGATCAAAATTAATGAAACAGGATTTGACATTTTAAAATACACATAACGAGATATGTTCATATATATCACATTAAATCAAAACAAGAAACTTCAGTCTAATGAAAATTATCGATATTTCATTTTATGGATTTATTATTATTTTATTTACAAGTCAGCAATTTAAATCCATTTTTTGTTCGGCCCATAGAAAGCCCATAACACTCCAACCACTATAATTTCATCGCCTAGTAGCAGAAACCCTAGGGAGGCCTGTTATACACTTATACTACTATCTAAAGGCTGAAGGTTCCGTGAAGAAGTCCCTTTTGCGGCAGGCGGAAGATCGGCGAAGAAGTTCCAATGGGAAGAAGTGAGTTTCGTTTATCTTTCATTTATCATACATCAATGGATTTGAGTTTATATGGAAAAGTCGTTGGAAATAGTGGAAGTATATCTATCTGATTTTATATAGTTTATTACTCCGTAGTAAATTCTGGGAACTTTGTTTTTTGCTTAGTATTGATGATGGATCCCGACTTGTTATTTTTTCTCAATTTTAGTAAGCCCAGTTCGTCAATCCCGGCCAAGAAGACTGCTACAATTGGCTTTTAATGTAATGAACTAATGTGAACGCTTAGAAATGTTGATGTCATGTATTTATTTTCGACTCGTGCAAGCGCACCATGAATGCAGAAAATTTCAGATCAATTTCAATTTTACAATGGTTCTTTCGTTCGGGCGCTCGTATCGATCCCCTTCCTTCAACATCTTTTTCACAACTTTCTTATAATCAGTAACATTTGCAACTGTCTTCCAAGAAGCAATCTCTAAATCAATAAGCAGCGTTGCATTGGCTGGAACAGCACCCTTATTAGCTGATGCTTCCTTATCCTTTTCACCAAAACCATATTGAGGCTTCACTGTGAGCTGCACCATCTCTCCCTTCTTCATGGTCTTTACAGCTCTAGAAATATCAGAGCAAAAATGTCCTTCCCCAACAGTGGAATCCACTCAATTTGGTTTTGATATCAAAGTTCCATCTTCAAGATGAACTTCAAAGTGCACTAAAACCTCATCATGGTCTTTAGGGTTTTCCCATTTCTCTCCTTTTTCCACAACCTTCTTGAAAATCCCACCGCCTTTGCAGATGTCCTTAACGCTTTCCCATGACATAAATTCAACATCGAATGGCAATGTTGCATTGAAAGGAATGGTATGAGGAGGACCAGGCTCTCCATAGGCAAGCTCTGCATTTTCACCCTTCTTCATTGTTTTAATACCATGATCCCATCCTCTAATTACTTGTCCTTGACAAAGAGTGAACTTAAGTGAATCTCCTCTATCTCGAGTAGAATCAAACTTAGTCCCGTCCAGCAGTGTGCCAGTGCAATGCACTTCAACCTCATCTCCAGAATCAGGAATCTCAAAGCTTTCTCCTTCTTTAAGAAGCTTCTTCTTCAAGCCCTGATTTCTGATCTCCTTCTCCTCACTGACCTTAATTAATGAATTATCGTCAGGCAGATCCAAATCTTCCATCTCCTCAGCAGGTGGCATGTCGAAATATTCATCCATTTCTGGCAATTGCACCAAGAACAATTAGGTAAGGCACTAGAAAATGATAGGTTTGATTATTAGTTTGTGTCAACTCTTTTTATGCTGGTGGTATATATTAAAACTAGAAATAAGAATTGATAGCTCCATGTGGTAAAAATATTATGATTTATATAGTTCGCTAGTAAATTATGGGAAATTTGTGTTTTTTGCTTACTATTCATTATGGATTATGACTTGTCATTGCTTCTTGTTCGTCAATCCTGACCAACAAAAATGATGTGTTTGGCTTTTACCGCATTCAGCTATATTGCTAACAGTATATTTACATATACTAATGAAATTGATGTGAAAATTTAGGAAATGTCCATTAATGATATATATGAAAAGTAGAAACAAGAATTGATATCTCTGTGCATGAAAAAACCATTTTGATGATATTTTTGTCCAAACTGTTTCAGGGCCAGCAAGGTGTTACCGCCAGATTAAAAACAAGCCATACCCAAAGTCAAGGTACTGCCGTGGTGTGCCTGACCCAAAGATTAGAATATACGATGTGGGAATGAAAAAAAAGGGAGTTGATGAGTTCCCCTTCTGCGTACATTTGGTCAGTTGGGAGAAGGAGAATGTCTCGAGTGAGGCCCTTGAAGCTGCTCGAATTGCTTGCAACAAGTACATGACCAAGTTTGCAGGAAAAGATGCCTTCCACCTTAGGGTTAGGGTTCACCCTTTCCATGTCCTTCGTATTAATAAGATGTTATCGTGTGCTGGGGCTGATAGGCTCCAAACGGGAATGAGGGGGGCATTTGGAAAGCCACAGGGTGTCTGTGCCCGTGTTGCCATTGGACAGGTTCTTCTGTCCGTTCGCTGCAAGGATTCCAACAGTCAAAATGCACAGGAGGCTTTGCGTCGTGCCAAGTTTAAGTTCCCTGGTCGCCAAAAGATCATTGTTAGCAGAAAATGGTATGCCTTCTTCCATTTGCCTGTTAATATAATATTGATTGATTGATCACTTCAGATCCATGGTCACACTAAAGCAGCTTGGTTTCAAAAGCTTGTGTTTTTGTGCCAACCAAAAGTCTCCTCTGATCAAACAAATCTATTTGAACCTTTTCCAAAAACCAGTTGCAGACAATTTATACATGGATATTTGTTAGACCACAGACTTTTCCGAAAACCTTTTCCATGGTTTTTGAGGTTGTATCTCCCTGAAATGTAAAAGATGTAACTGGTCCAAATGTCTTTTTTGTGGGGATGAGGATGGGGTGAATACATGTTTAGAGCAAATGCCATAATCTTTTCTAAGGCACAATTGTTATAAGTGTCCATCATACAACATATGAAGCAGTTAGTGGTTTGTGATTGATTATATCTGACATCTAGATAAACAATTATAGATCTCCATTAGTATTGGAGTGAAGATTCTGAATCTAGGATCATGTTTGGTAATGAAGTCATGAAGATTCTATTCTAATCATTTGTCTTGTTTCCTTTCTTACTTTTCAGGGGGTTCACAAAGTTCAACCGTACTGATTATCTGAACTACAAGAAGGAAGGCCGCATTGTGCCTGATGGTGTCAATGCTAAGGTTTAATCATATTCCTTTGTGCTAAACTATCCTTTTTATTCAAATTTCATGTTAATGAGATAACTGAGATGAGAAGTAACTTTGCACTTCTTTTTTTTGTGTTTTATAGCTTTTGGGATGTCACGGACCTCTTGCAAAACGCCAGCCTGGAAGAGCATTTATTGATGCAGCAGCTTAAACATTTTGTTTTGTTTCACAAGACTCTTGAGCAAAGTCTATCCTTATGGCATGCTATGATTTTATTTCATTCGAGCAAGTATATCAGGACATCACTTTATGAATTTTTGTCTTTAGTGGGTTGGTGTTTGTTTCACCGTTTTAAATACTTCGATGCGTTTGCTAGTTATCATATTAATGTTGGAATATCTATGTTGGAACTAATATGCAATCATTTATAATGCAAGACTAAATGTAGTCTCTACTCTGTAGTCTTCACTTTACAAAGATATACCCATTTCTGAAGTGTATAAAACTAAACTTAAAGAGTGAATCTTTTTAAATTATTAGTAGGTATTTGTATTCTCGCTTTTATTCAGTAGGTCTTTATAATTTATCTAATTACTTCCTTTAAAAACTACATATAGAATTTTATGTAGTATTTGTTTTACTTTGTGTGTTAAAGTTCCCCACTTCCCCTGTTCATGTTGGAATTTGTCTAAGGTGTAGTACACTAGTACATGCTTGTAGGCTTGTAGCTGGTTTGTTTGGAGGTTTGGAATCGGGTGGGGATTGGATCGGGTGGTTTGTATGCTTGTGAGGTTTGTATCCTAAAGACAGTCCCAGTCCCTACCCGTCCTACCTAACCCCCGACCATACTCCCACTCGTACCCCTTCCCCTACCTTGACCCTATCCCTTTACCCCACCACCTGCCCCTACCTTGACCCCTGACCCCACCCCTATCCCTAATGTACCCTTACACATACCCAACCCCTTAACCTACCCCAGCCCTACCCATTTACCCCCTACAACCTTCCCCCACGACCCCACTCCTACCCTTACCCCCAACCATACCCTTTCCCTACCTCAACCCTACCACTCCCTTTACACCCTACCACCTTCCCCCAGTTCCTCTTCCTTGATCCCACCCAACCCTGACCCTGCCCCACCCACCACCCCCTGATCCTACTACCCCTTTACCCCCTACCACCATCCCTTACCTCGACCTCACTCATACCCCTTACCCCCGCCCCAACCACCCCACCTGTACCCCTTCCCCTACTGACTCCACCCCGACCCCCTGATCCCTTAGCCCTTACCCCATACCCCCACCCATCCCATACCCTTACCCTACCTTGTCCCCGGTTCAAGGTAAGGGTAGGTTAGGGGTTAGAGGTATTGGGTACGTGTACTAGGTGAGTAGGTGACCCCTACATATTAATATATGTGTGCTCATGAATGTTTGTGTGTCTATATCCCTACAATGTATATGTTATTTTGGACATTTTAATGCTTAATGTTAAACATTGTCTTAAATCATTTGAAGTAAAAATGAGCTTATAACACTGTTTATTTTATGCGCCGCTTATTAACGCGAGTCTTAATAAACACTGTTTAGTAACCCGTGAAGTAAACATGTCCTTAACGTTATCCAAAGAAAAGGCAAAAACTAGAACAATAATAAATCATTAACTAATCAGGAACCAATAAAAGAAGATGATGTGCAAAAATGAAATTGTTTTGATATTAGTCAGGTGGACGTGGAACTTTTAATTCCCATTTTAAATTACGGAGTACATCTAAAGGAATATATTCATAATTTCATACCCTTGTAAGTATCTATAATATAATAAATGCATAAATAGAAAGCAATAAATAGTTGAAACTATAGCCGTACGTTCTTGGAAGTTTTTCATAGTAGATTCATATATACGATAAGCAAAAACTCCGAATTCTTTCTTTATCTTTACTGCAACTCATAGATTCTGAATGGCACGCAACTCATTCATTGATTCTGGCCTTCATGAACAATGGCGGTCGTTGCATGCCCTGCATCCAGCTGCATCTCATCAAAACTGGACAGCAGGTGATCGAGTTTGGGCTGCAATTCAACGACTCCGGAAGGCGTCTCAGAGATGATATTTTGAATGACTCCCAGTCTAGCAACCCGTTTCCGTTTGATTTGACAGACAACGAAATCTTTCAATGATGGCTGGATTCAAAAGACACAAAACAATAAGGAAAAATGCACAATTGTAAAGTTAGATTAAATATTCATATGATCCATTCAATAGCCTAGTACTGAAATAAATGCATAATTGAATTGGAAATCAAACTTACTTTAAGCTTGGCTTTGATCTCCTCAGCGAGGGAGTATTCTGTCATCATATATGCCCCATCATGTTGTGGTAAGTTTTTATTTCGGTATCTCAAGATTCGCTTGTATCCGATAAGTTGAGACGGATCTTTGATATTGAATCTGTAAATAGGTTTGCCTTTGCCTTGAGTAGTCCATCTCCCTTTGATAGGGGAACTACTGTTTTTCGAAAGGCATTTATTAGGTAGTGTAAAGAAGTACAAAGTTCTTTGTCTTGAGTTCTCGAAAATCTGCCATGGTTCTATTCCGCAGCTCACATCCTTCAACTTTATGGGACCTGTTGGAGGAACTGGTTTCCCATGGGCAAAAGACATAAGAAAGTCTACTAAGTGCACATCCGTTGGCCGAAATCTGTAGCCTTCCCGTATGCGACCCGGAATCTTTCTTAGCGGTTGCATGGCTGTAAAGAGAAAACGAAAAACAAGTACTACATATAAACACTTCTGAATGATATAGAACTTCTGGCTGGAGGCTATATATGTTGCCCCTTGTTCAAAATCAAATACGACCCAAAACTTGAAATGATAAACAGAGTGAAAATCTGCTTTATGATAAAACGTAAACACAATGCTACTCATTTAACCAAAGGCATAACTACTAAAACACAGTTTCGAAATTCTACTCCCATAATTATATGCAATGGGTATTAAATTTAGAGAAACACACACTAATTATATGTACTCACTCCAAACAAAAAAAAGCAGCATAATCCAAAAACAAAATAAGATTGTTAGCCCAATGAAGAAAAAACGAGAGCAGTTAGCATATTCCCATATTAAAAAGCACATTCCCAGATTAATAAGTTTAACAAAACTTCCTATTTTCAGAATATATATTCGAAAAAAAATAAAAAAAATGCATATTGATAAAACTTCGCAGGATGAAACAAGTATTCAGGGGGACAAAGAATTAAAGGAAGGAATTCTGCAATGCCAATTTATAGCGATTCTCTCACGGTTCTGATCTCTGCCAATTGCTGGAAGGAGGCTAAATAGGGCCGAATTGGCCATTTAATGCTTCTACAGAATGAAAGGTTTCGACTTTCTAATGCTAAGCTTATTCTTTTACATACAATCCATCAACCCTTCAGGCCACGATAAGGGTTTGGTTATTTTTGTACAAAATCAAAAAATCGGAATTAAATAGTCAACTAAAACTGGGAATCTCAAAATATATGAGATTCAACTAAAACTCGAAATAAACATAATGTGATGAGTAAATGGCGTATGATCAAAAGAATCTAGTGAAGTACTGATCGAAGACATACTTATTATTTCGGAGGCTGGAACTGCGAAGTCAGGAATCGATAAAACAATGGGGTGGGAGGAGCCGAAGAGATTGGGAAAGCCGTGAAATCAGAAGCTTGCGTTCCAAGTACCCACGTATTTATAAGGCAGGGTCCACCGCCTCTAGTCATGGCGGTATTAATTAAGAATAGTTAAAGGGGTTTTCAAAAAATATTCCTAAAATAAACTTATTTACATATGACTATTCATTAATATGACATAGTGTTCTGGTAACTAAACGAGTCTTGTGTCTTCCAATAGAACCATCTAATTTTAGTTTGACTTTATAAGCCCACTGTTTTCTTTCCTGAAGGTAATCTTACTAAAGACCAAGTTTTGTTGTTTTCAAGAGCATTTATCTCATTGATCATAGCTTTTCTCCAATATTCATGTTCAAACGAATGAGAAGTAATAACGAATGGGAAGTAGGCGGTTATGGTATGAAAAGTAATAACGAATGAGATTTTTATGATTTCAGATGAGTAATTGACCAAAATACCCTTACGTTTAATTAGTCATTACTTCAGGAATTACCATTACACGGATGGTGATTTGAGATAGATGAATGACTAAGATTAAGTAAGTTAGCATATTAAGAAGTGTTTGCACTTGATCTCTAATATACATATATATATATATATATATATATATATGAGTCCTGATCCTGTCCAGACGTCCGGACAGGAACCGCCGTCCGGCCGGCGGCGTTTGGCCGCCTTCCCGGTGGAATTTTTTGATGAAATTTTTATGGCATGTTCTCCATCAAGTCTAGTTTATCCACAAAAAAATTCAGCCAAAAACTCAATCGGGAAGGTCGTCGAATGATTTTTGCAAGTTAACTGGTCCGGAAAATACATATTCCGGACCAGTTAACTTGCAAAAATCATTCGACGACCTTCCCGATTGAGTTTTTGGCTGAATTTTTTTGTGGATAAACTAGACTTGATGGAGAACATGCCATAAAAATTTCATCAAAAAATTCCACCGGGAAGGCGGCCAAACGCCGCCGGCCGGACGGCGGTTCCTGTCCGGACGTCTGGACAGGATCATTTGTGTATATATATATATATATATATATATATATATATATATATATATATATATATATATATATATATATATATATATATAGGGTAAGGTTCAAGTGAGAAGAACCCTTTGGGTGAGAAATGAGAATGAATCTCAGCCATTGGATTCGACTAAGTTGCAGTAAAAGACACTTCATGATGCACTGAAATATGCAATCTAGCACGGTGGCATTTCTGTAAATACTTCTGAAAAATCCGTATTACACGTGTCTAGTGCAACATGAAGCTATTTTGGTGCAACGCCGTCAAATATTAGTGCAACATGAAACAGTTTTAGTGCAACATGTGCAAAATTTAAATATTACTGCAACATAAAGCCAATTTTAGTGCAACTTCGTAAATCCAATGGCTGAGATTCATTCTCATTTCTCACATTAGATGGATTTCTCTCTCTCTCTCTCTCTCTCTCTCTCTCTCTCTCTCACACACACACACACACACACACACACACACACACATATCGGGGTGACTCATGGAAGCTTTGATTGTAGTGTTGATCTTTGGTGTTGGAGTTTTGAAGCTTGAAGTTTAAAGTGTCTCAAAATTAGCTCTTGAAAAAGATAGATGGAAAAGTGTACACTTTCAAGCAAAGGTGGAAAGTGGGCTTCTTTAACTTTCCCACACTTAAACTCCTTGAAAAGTTTGAAGCCTATAAATATGAACCACTCATCACTTAATATTAAAAGGTGAAGGAGAATAGGGGAACTCTCGCGCACACAAGAATTCCGGCTTCTAGTTCAGAACCGAAAATTCGCACCCCCTGCGCGGGCGACCTGCGGACACGATAGTCGTAAAATTTAGCAGGTCTCAAAAGACAATTTGGCCCCTCTTTTCTTTGCTTTTTTTTAAACTTTCTTTCTCGATAGTGTACTGGACTGGTGGGTTCTCGAGGTTAGCTTAACCTTGGTTTATTAATTTTATGGGTAAGTCGCCAAACGGTTGGGCGACTTACCCCGACTAGGGTTCAGCCCAGCAATATATCCGTAAATACTTTTAACTCAACCCTATTTTCGTAAATACTTAATTAATTAACATTAATATGAAAAAAAAAACTCAATTTTAACACTTTTTTCAAAAATAGACCAGTTAGGTTTTTCTTTTCAATAATACCCACTCTACCGTAAGTCCGTAAGACCGTAACTACAGGTGAGACGCACGATTGATGACGAAATACGGAGGACTGCTCTAAAATTAGATGAGGACGCATTCTTTAATTTATTACGGAGCACAACTCTAAAATTTTAAATCTGAGTTTTAATTTTACTATCCCATCATAATTGAAAACTTTAATATTTTCTCAATGTAAACATGCTATAAAATGTATAAAAAATCTAAATATTGTAATATACTCGAAAAATATAAACTTCAGAAATTATGAAAATAATTAAACACAATAAAGGTGAAAACTCATAAAAACTTGAGAAAGTATATAATAATATTAAAATGCAAATAACGTTATTGCGTTTTGAAAAATAAAGACTTGAAAAATAAACATTTAAAAAAATAGGCTAAAGGATCAAATAGGCCCTTGAACTAACTTAAAAAGTGCAATTGGGACACCAATTGGGACAGTTCGCGGTGGAATTTTTTGATGACATTTTGTGAGCATCTTCTTCATTAAGTCTACTGTACTCATACCAAATTTCAGATAAAAATGCATCTGGGAAGACAATCAAATGATTTTCTGAAATGTAATGCACTATTTAACTGCGCAATTATCTTCAAAAATTCATTTGACTGCCTTCCCAGTTGAATTTTTAGCTGAAAGTTGGTATGGGTAAACTAGACTTAATGAAGAAGATGCTAAAAAACTTTCATCAAAAAATTCCACCAGGAACCGCCTCAATTGGCGACACTGGACAGAGCCTCCTATATAAGGGGTTAATTGCATTTTTTAAGTTAGTTCGATGGCCTATTTGATCCTTTAGCCAAAAAAATACGGTAAAACTAAAAAGAGTAATAATTCTTTTTGAAAGGAAGAAGAGTAATGATTTGTAAAGTTATACAATATAAAGTTCTGAAAATTATGAAAAAAATAACTAAAAAATAGATTGAAAATAAAAAATGTAAACTATCATACTTTTTTAAAGATTCAAGAAAATTCTTAGAATAAATAATATTATTGAATAAAAGTATACTGATAGTACCATGGACTCAGATCATGGCCCAATTACGAAATCCAACCCATAACGGGATTAGCCCTCAACGGGATCAGCCTATAAACAAGATTAGCTCATAAACGAGATCAAGCCCTAAACGGGATTAATATTAATAAGCCGATGGGCCTAATTAGGCCCACGATAGGAACCCACAACCATGTCAGGCTGGACAGCAGACCTCGAGCCTGGGCGGGACATTCTTAGGGCTTACGTGACAGACTATCATTTGTGCATAGCTATCTGGCAGCAGGTAGGAATGAACGGAAGAACGTGGAATTAAAAGGAGATAATCATTGCACAACGTCCAAGACGTTCCGGGAGTTCTATTCTACTAGAATATAATTAATACTACCTCCGTCCCTCTTATATTGGGACGAAAAAGGGTGACACGATTATTAAGAAAAGTGGGTTTGTGTGGTTCATATTAATTGATAAAGTAAGAATAAAGTAAGAATGATTTAGAGTCACACAAACTTTACCAAATATGGTATGGGACAATTTTAGTGTGATTTCCCGAAAAGGTAAAACGAGATAATATAAGGAGGACAAAGGGAGTAGCATTTATTGTATCAGTTTCCTCCTAGAATACTAGCTTCTAAAGTCTATAAATACTTCCTGTATAATTCCTATCAAAGGACTGAACTCCGGATAATAAGATATTGTCTTATGCTGCCTAAATTTCATTTGCTCGCGTAGATATAGTTCTCGTAGTTGAATTAAACTCCATCATAAACCGTACCAATATAGAACATAATGATATCAAAAAAATAAATGTGAGAAAGTGAAATGTAGAAAGTTCATAAAAAATGATAAATATAGTAAAAGAAATTACAAAACAAGATTTATTGATTTATTTCTTTTTTTAATTAATATGATCAATGTATCGTTTATTTTTATTTTTGTTGCATGTGATTTCTTTGTGTTTCTTTGTGTTTCTTTTTATTTTTAAAATTAATATTATCAATGTATGGTTTATTTTTATTTTTGTTCCAAGTGATTTTTTTTGTGTTTCTTTTTGTTTATAGATTTATAAATTTTGTTTCTAATTTTTTATTTGTGTTTCTTGTTGCGGTTGTATTTCATAATTCCAAATTTATTATTATATGTGTTTATACGTGTGTGTTGGTTTTAATTCCAAAGTAGAAAAAATAAACTAAAACCTAAATAAACAAAAAAATCAACAATAAATAAAAAATAAAAAAGACAAGATGCAACAAAGTGAAACACGGTGCAACAAAGTGAAACATGATGCAACAAAACGCCACAAAACAAAAGTTATAAAATTACAACATCCTTAAGTGTTTAATGAGTTGATACTTCAATGTAGTTTTTTATGATGAAACTAAAGAAGAATTCAAACAAGAGCCTAGCAATGATGCTACCACAAATGAGGGTTTGACTGAAGAACATATGAAGCTAGTTGATGAGTCTTGGACCAAATTGATCACTTCATTATGTTAACCATGTTGTGGAATAGAGTTAGTCCTCATCTTCTTTTTGTGGTGTATTTAAAGACATGAGATGTAGCCATTGTACAATTCCTTTTTGTTGTGAGTTGTTCAACTGGATGTCTGGATGGAATGGCATTTCCTTGTGCTTTCTGCAACTTCGGCCAAAAATTCATGCATTCTTCTTGAGAGATAGTACAGCTAAGATAACTTGTGACACCGCACCCGAACGCCCTTGAAAATTCAATTTAAAAAAATAATTCAAAGTCTATATATTGAATTTTCGATTTCCAAACAACTGTAAAACGATTAATGTTTTACGTAGCGCATAATTGGTTATTGTATTGTTCAAACTCGTATATTAGTG